TAAAGTCTTCGACATCGCACAGTGGGCTGCCAGCATGTGTTTAAGCACAGAGCTTACACGCAGTGCATTTTGAAAAATGTGCCATAATAAGCTCGGTCATTTGGTTTTTCCTTCAGTACATTAACAGTAATAACTTCAGAGATCAGTAAAGAATCTTTCGAAAACTCCGTTATTTAAGACATTAAACGAATTTTAGCGTCTTTAAAGAGATCGTCAACAATTTCCCTTATACAAACTCCTTCGTATCCACTCATTTGCGGCCGCCTGGTGTGAATATTTGCCCTTCTTTTTAGATTTTTATTAAAGCCTTGATCGGATTCCATGCGCATGCAATAACGCTAGAAAGCATTAGTCTTTCTGTATGTCTATTATTCTTTTCCCCAGTCTTCACTGAGTAATTAAAAAACTTGACTTTTGCAATAATTTGAGTTTTGACGTCGATCAAAGTATAGTTGCAAACTTTCATTTACATTAATGATTTATTTTGCCCCAGTTGCCGGTAATTTGAAGTAAGGACACACATCTGATCGCGGTACGCGCTATACGGGCGGCTACGCTGGCCACTGTTATTCAAACGCCGTCTAACCTCGATCAGGGTCAAAATAATGAAATTATTGACGTCAACTGCGTCCCACCGTAAATGTAATGCGCCCCCCGGGGGCTGTTTACTGAAATCGGCGTTGGCGGAAAAGTTTTACAGAGGGAATTAAAATTGAATAATCGAAAATGAAGCCGGTTGTATAATGTGAGCATTAGAAAGTTGGAATGCAGACACCGGTTCGGCAGGGGAAGCTACCGTAAACATGTGCCTTCGAATCTTAACGAACCTTTGAGTTAAATCTTCCAATATTTGCTTGGTTAAACGTCCTCTGTCCCGCATTAAACCTTTCATCACCATGTTAACATAGGTTTGACAATGATTTAAATGTCATTGGTATTTCCAACAAACCAACCCACGTAACAGCAATGGAACCAAAGTCGAATTTCCAAGCCTGATAAGTCGGGTGGGTAAGCTGCACTGAACCCCTCATTAGAGCTGTGATGCTAGAAAACCAAGTTAAAACCGCTAGATACGCCGCTATAAATCCGAAATTGCGGTCAACTCAATCAAAATCTACATAAGCAAACGAAAATACGACTGAATTAACGCAGCTCTGTCCTATTTGCTTGATTCCCTAGTATACTGAGACAATTGTTTTTCCCGTGGAATACGTATCCACTCGCGTCTTCGTCAACTCTCGCTGTATATTCCGCCTCCATAGGTGATAGCCAAGTCTTTTTAAGATCGATGATTTTGCTAATTTTCGTTGTCTTTTTCTAATCTGTACAGTAATGTGGTCTAAAAATGGGTCATTTCGCAATTGAAGCCGTTCTCTTATAAATGTTTTGATTTTATCTTTGGACGTTTTCCCTACTAAGATGTACTCGAGAGACAAACTTATCTTGCGAACCCATGATTATACATTACGCTTTGCTCATGAGCTCATGGCGATTGCATAGTAATAAATATAACGTAAAAGAAACTAGACGGTTCCCAGACCTATTGATGGTTAAATTTCATTATGGCAAATGCAATTGAAACATCAATTACTTGACGTACTAATTACTATCTGGGCCATGTTCGATTTTGGCCCAGGTACCGGCAATCAGATCTTATTGTTAGCACTAAATGCCGGCAATTAATTGAAAATTAAATAATAATTGTGGCGCGTCTGCTGTTATTATATCTGCATTAATTTGGCTCTCACACAGCAAAAAACTACTAGCCCATAGAACTTGAGTTCTATAGAACTCATATTAATATTAATAGGAAATCTCCAATTGGTAGTAAATTAATGGAAGATTTTTGCAGCGGTATCACGTGACTGTTCTAAATACCCCGATGTATTTTTTAACTTAAATTTAATATGCCCTGACAAGACGCTCCACCATGGTGGTGCACTTCACTTCATTCACACTAACTTGCTTAAATTTCAGGTATTTGGTGTATGTAAATAATCTAGGGTGTGGAGAAAAGTTTTCACTATATTCCACCAACGTGATTGCCTGCGGTTTCAGGTGCTGCATCTAGTGGTGACTATAGTCATCACTATAGTGGTATATGCTGGGGCTGTCATCATCAATGCCATGGCAACCCTTACGATCAGGTGGTCCGATGGGCATCACCTTCTAAAAAAGACTGAATCCGTTGGTGCAAGAACTGCCTCTCTGGCTTCATGGAATTTTTGGTCAGGTTCTCTACTGAACCCTATTCTGCCGCTCCCATTTTGTAACGTAATACCTGAAGGTTAATATCATTGTACCAATTCAGGGTGTGGCGATGAGTGTATCCAATCAATTTCAGTAAGTATGCCTAGCTGGCTTGGAACATACCCGTCATGCTGTACGAAGGACTACGAACTTTTATTGCTAACAAATTTAATGAAGTCCGCATGAAGAATCGCTTCCAGAAAATGACTGTTAAACATCCGTAATGTTTACGTCTCTTTAACTCGCACAGCTCGATCGCGTTCACCGATCGTGGCTTCAGTTGAGGTATGTGTACTTTTCTATCGACCCGCTAGGACGCTTTCGGTATCCCCGCGATTGACGTTAATTTCCATCTATGACACGGTATCTTGGGAATCTAGTTTTCTTGCCGTTTGTCGTCTACTGTTGGCTGAGGTATATTGCAGGCATATTCAAAATCGATCACTCATCGTCCTAGTTTATATCTTCCGTTTTTGAGACTGCGTACAGCCTTTCCGAAAATCCAGCTAATTTCCCTAGCGAAAATTATTGCTGGCACGTTGAAAAATTATCGAATTCAAGTCTTCTAATGATGGTTGTGGCGGAAGACGCCACAATGTATACATTCAACTACTGCATCTACGTTCAACTAGAAAGCCACATTAGCTGACTATAGTTCTCCAGTCCCTTCCACTTTCGGACCACGTAAAACTGGCGCTGTTCACCAACGTTCGTGAGATTTGGATGTGGACCTCAAGGTAGCTAAATCTCAGTAACTGGGAGGCATCTCATCTTTAAAGGCTTCTTCTATCTAACAAGTTGTCAAATAACTGGAATTCGACACATGACTTTAAAAATTGGCATTAATATTCTTTACCTGCGCCTTGCACAAATTTTTTGTTTCATATCACAAAACCGCACAGGGCAGAACATGTCGCAAGCATTTGAAACCATGCCATTTGCGCTCAACTACGGCCAGGTTTTAAGCACTGTATTTTAATGTCACAACGCGTAAGAAGTCCTTCAGTAAAATGATCTACCAATGATTTGGCGAATAGTTTGACGAGGCCTCAACCGTGTCTGTGGAACCCTTATGAAAGTGACGGCTTCCGTCTGTAGAAACGGTCGGAGGAATTGCCATTGTCTGCCCCAGTTTGAGCCCGTCTGTCTAATAAATAGGCCACCTCATGAGTCCATGCAGTCTTAGCGGTCCCAACAGTGGAATTTATCAATTTCCTGAACAATTCAATCATGACTATCCGCTGGCACGCTCCTTATTGATTGATCCGGGTTTCAGTTCTCAAAAGCTTAAATATCTTGTGTTTTTGACATTTTAAGGCATATAAGCGTATCACAGGGGATATTTTTGAGTAAAAACGAGAAGTGACTATCCAAGCATGCATGGTAGGTAACATGTTTTGATTCAGACCTTTTGTGATTTTTGCGTCAATCAGCGATCTGCTGCTATGACCCACCTAGCAAACCTCTGTGTTTCTCAAATGTATTTACCTGACCAAACGCCCTACCATTAGACAACTGGCCCGTTTTCGCGCTTGTTGAGATCGATAAAAGCCAATTTCACAGTCAGATTGATAAACTTCCTCCTAAAAAAACGTTAGACCTAACGCTCTATGACCAAAGAAACCTGATTGGAATGCCAGGTCATCCAAAGTTAGGGTTATGTATAACTAACTGACAGCTATTAATAAACCAGAAAATTCCATTCCTACCCCTTCTTTGTCAGCATTTATTTATGTCACCACCCTATTTGCCTATATTACTAGTCGACATACGACTGCCTGCGAGGGTTCTAGATCAAACCTCAAGGCACAACGGAACGAGCATGGTCCGTAACCCAATCGGTGGTAGCGATACCGGCATAGTTTATATGCCTGATTAAAACCGACAGGACAATAAGTTCGCGGCTCCGATAGCTAGGCTGTCGTATTTGCTAACGTCTAATATGTAAAAGTTGAGAGATCTGAAAGTTAGGTTTGGGTAAGGTTGGCTGACGATGGCTTATATGTCGGAAATGACCACCCGAACTTCCCTTGTCTTTTTCAGTACTACTGTCAACATATATTTACGGTCACTATGGTCCGTCGTTGTGGGTCATACATCGAGCCTCAAGAAACATCTGGATGGGCAATAGGAACTATTGTGTATGACATGGGTATCGAAAGCATTTAGCACTACTGAGAACGCTGCTCTCGTTTAAAATTAATCTGTAATTTGTGGTACTCTTGAAACTGAATTAGGAATCTCCTTTAGGTAGAAAAACCGGACAATGCGTAGTATTGTATGAGACGAGTGTAATAAGTAACATTTAGAACATCCCATTAAACACACACGATTGCATCTTATCAAAATTAGCAAATTTAATTTTAAAAATTGCGATACACAAGGACTGATGTTCTTTTAGACTTTAATTTCACAAATGTCTGAAAAGATACTCACTGGACAGTCAGCGTATTATCGTGTGGCGAATTGGGTTGTGATCGTGTTAAATGCACAACTGTACTGCAATTTTATTTAAAGGCTGTTTTCTACCGTAAAATACGCATTTAGAAACTTCATGCAGTGTTTCGTGAGATCGGGATGTACTGCACTCCCTTCCTCATTTAAAACCTTGAGAGAAGATGAAACACCCAAGAAAGCGACTGTGCTAAATGACTCTTTAGATTTACTGAATGTCTTTGATTCTTACTCGATTTCGGAATTTTTGCGTTTATTAAAGTATCTCGGACGACAGATGCTCTTACATCCCGAAAATGCAACTCAGCCAACTACGAACACAAATCGATGAACTTCTACAGAACCCAGACCTGCGCACGCAAATCAAGCGTGCGCTAGAATGCGACGCTGCCTCTGCGCTGGCAGGCACTCAGCAGTCCTCGCAGCACCCTCATCAACAGGATATTCTGCTATCCAAGTTGAGGAGCGCCGGCATAGTTGACCGCCTTCTCACTGCCCTTGCGAAGCCCTCGCCCAAACATGCGTTCCTCCCAGAAGGCGCAACTTCACACTTACCAGAATGCAAAAAGTATGATCGTGCGACACTGTCTATTGAACTACTCACAGCCAAGGCTCTGTTGAGTAATCTTTCCGGCCAGAAGTGTTCGAGCGACGACCCCCTGTCTGACAGTGCTCTGGTCTTTTACTTGGCCTTCGGCAGACATCGTTTCCAAAGTCAACGATATCCCTGTCATGTTGACCTCGATCTGAATCAAGTTTTCCTCGTAGACTTGGAGAGTTCTGTTTCCTACAGAGTGGCAGTAAGTCCAGACGTCTTTTCGTTGCTACTGGCGCTTCCTTATAAATTATAGTTTGAAGACGTGTTTGTTTTGAGAGTCATATTGGGATCTGGGGCATTTAAAAGACGATGCGTTCTGCATCTCATGAATGCAATTGAGATATAGGCTATTCCGCTTAAGCCTTTCATCATTGAATTTTGTTTCTTTTTTAGATTGTTACGTTGAATAGGCGTCTTAATTCTTAAGATTTCACAGAGAGAGCATACAGTGAGTAACCGATCTCATGAAATGTTGGCTGAAATTCTGAAATGCATTTTCGATCGGGAAGGATTACTTAAGCGCGGTTACAAAACTGATTTTCTTGCGGCATAATTTTTTTAAATTTCGGACTCGGTAAGACGTCAGTTTTTGAATGCACCACATTTAAATCTCCCGTGGGAACCGTATTCGGTAAGAAATGACTGCTTAAGTAGCATACATTTTTCCCATTGATTTTCCACGGTCTTGCAAATTCGAATATATTTTATAGAAAACACGAACAAAATATACTTTCTTTCAATCGTTTGATAGAGAATTAGGTAATCTTTATATTTTATACTCGACGAAGGAGTATAAATAGGTTTCGAAAAAGATACTGATACTGACTGATACTGATTCTAATTATGAGATTTTTCAAGACCGTGCAATGTCCATTCATACAGCATCGTACCTGTGTGTTTACCACTGCTCCTCATGAAATGTACAACATGGTCCGCATCCATTGCAAAATTTTATGGATTTGATATAGTATCTTTTTAAAGGCATAGAAGAATATGTGATTTTCTTTACGGGGAGCACATGTGCCTTGTAGACTGAAATCCCTAAGCGCTAATGCAACGGCTGATCGGGCCCAAATTATCCGGAAGTTAGAAAACTTTTCAAAACCTAATTATACTCCTTTTTCGAGTATAAAATATAAAGACGATGTGATCATCTATCGAAAGATTGTAAGAAAGCATACTTTTGTTCTGCGTTTATATAAAATATATTCGAATATTCAAGGCCATCGAAAATCATTGCAAAAAATGCATGCTACATATGCGGTCATTTTATACCGCGTACGGTTTCTACAGAAGGTTAAATTGCAAAGTATTCAAAAGCTGACATCCTGCCGAGTCCGAAATATTATAGGATTATTCCCCATGATAATGAATTTTTCAAGCCCACCTAAGTAAACCTTCCTAATCGAAAACACATTTCAGGATTGCAGCCAACATTTCATGTGATCGGTCACTCACTGACCATGCGGGAATTTCGCGTTGTGGCCTGCGACCGCACCACTGTACCAACGCCGTTTTATCATGCCATTTAGCGTTGTCGAGACGTTCTTGCTAACTTTCCAGAAATAATTTAAGTTTGAATTTAGCATACGTAACAGACTTTATAGGAACCGAAAAATTTCAAAACGGCTTATCAACTGCAACCACAGAAAAACTCAATGAAAAACGGTAAATTCATCGTCTGCTGCATACAGACTCATCAATGAAAATGGTAATTTACAAACAATTTAGGAAAGAAGATGGGGAAAATGGCACGCAGAGGAATGTGTAAATCAAAGGACTGAGATTTACCAGGACAAACTGAGGTTGACGTCGTGGTCCAACTGTTTGGTTTGGTTTGGTTTCACCCGTTGTACGTAGGCTGCCTCCAAGTAGCTTTATGTCCGAGTTGTTCGTGTTCGACCTAATACTCGGAAGAACGCTTTAGAGTCAACACCTTACGGCCAAAATTGGCGGAACCAGTTCCGACAAAGCCCGTTGTAATACCCTTACAATTAGGGGTGACGACATTCCGAATACCATTAAGCGGCAATTGTGATGCGTCATTGAAAGAACATACAAGGCAGCCGACTTCGTATTCAGCAGTCCTGCTAAAACCATTCTAATTCCACGGGCAAAGGGTGCCTTGTCATTACATGCTATCTCAAATTGTGTTTGCGAATTCACATACACTGGTGTATGTAAGTACATTGGGCTAACGCAAAGGCGATTGACGGCCACGTTAGTTGAGCCCCTGCCTGAATGGCCTTTACTGCATGAAAATATAATTCATCGTTCTTCTATCACGAAGTACCTCCTAGACAGCGATCATTCCCTTGACCCCAAAACATCCTTCCGAGTGATAGTTTTTGGCACGAACAACTCGGATATTGCGCTACCTGGAAACAACCTACATATGGCGGGGGAGACCCGACCTATCGAAACAGTTGGACCACACGGTCAACCTCAGTTTGTTCTGGTAAAGCTCAGTCCTTTAATTTACACACTCCATCTGCGTGTCAACTCTCCCATCTTTTTTCCTAAATTGAGTTTTTAAGTTAACATTTTTATTGATCAGTCTGTGTGTAGTAAACGATGATCTTGCTGTTTTGGCTTGATTTTTTCCGTGGAAATTACAATCTCTCTATCTTTCCCAGTCGTTATCTTTGTTATGCATAGACAGGTTGCAGTAAATAAGCCGTCGCAAAATTTGTCGGTTGCAGTATATTATATAGTGCATGCCTGTTTCAAATTTATACTGCGAAAATATTGTTTCGAAGTTCTTTAAATTTGTTTTTGAGCCAAATGACTTGTCCATTTTATTACCGGCAAGTTTGGAAATCGCCAGGAGTATGCCACTGTCAGGAGAGATGACTTTCAACAGCCGCGTTGGATGCTTACACAGTGGTCATAGTCAATGTTTGCAAAACCCTAGATACTAGAAAATGGCTCTATCATGTTTGACCAGGGGAGTCGATTCTCGACACTACGTGTTCCTTGTGCTAACATTGTGAACTTATTTTTGTCGAGGTAGAAACCGCTGACGGCGGAATCACTGCTGGCGGACAAGGCCACAAATGCACCCCTCCAGTTGACATGCGTTAAGCTGCGCAAAGATGGTCGCCGGCATCTTATCTCCTCAAATCTTATTGACTGGAAGAAGCAGGTCTATTCTTCCGCGCCTAGCGATGCCGATGGTGAGAGCTCTACATGGACTAGGAAGGTTCTCGTGGAATTGTCCAGTGTCGGCTCAGAGACACAGGTAAAATGCGACGTTTAGGAAGACTTTATGGTCTAACTTTTCGGTAGTTTTTATTTTATGTAGAGCAGCATGACAAGAGTATGGTTAATGGCCGAAGCTACTTACTCCGGGGGAAATTTGTGCCAAAAGGAAATAGTGGACGATATTTATTCGTACGTGGCACAGAGAGAAATAAAAAGACCTCGCGGTGGCTTTTGCGTGAGGGTAGTTAAGACCTTTCAGCTAATCATCGGAATATAAATACCGACTATGCAATGCCTTTTTGACAATGCCTGCAAAGAGGCATTAAGCTAATTCCCCATGTTATTAAATGCTAGAAATGATACCCCTCTTAATTGGTGTCAACATTTGAGAATCAAAATTTTTGACAGCACAAATTTCTTAGATGTTCAGTCCTTTTGCGTAGCACAACTATTCTCCGGGGTAAGTAACCCCGGCTATGAACCATACCTTTTCCAACAACATTATATTGTTGAATAAATAAGTATGCCAGAACACGAGGAGGTGTTCACCGGAAAGGACATATTAGGCATCTGGAATAGGAAATGGCGGCATCGGCTGTTAGTCTTCTGCAACTGGTATATAAACCACGCAGGGCACATAAGACAGGTAGACGTCATTCGTTGTTCGCTTATACCGACTGAGAGCTGGTGGATTGGCGAGTTAACATCCGGCTTGATGGCGGTTACTTCCGACTGCTTGGAGTCGTGTCCTTTCGCGTTGTATCCTTCCCATTGGCGTTGGTTTGTGTCCTCTAGGTTTGTCGATAGTTTCAGCTGTTGGGGACTTTTCATCGTCTTCGGAAGATGATTACCGTCCGTCGTGACATAGAAAGTACCAGTTGTTTGGGGGTCGAACATGCCCAAAAGGCAGTGCGCAGCTCCTGCGGTTGCAATTGAACTAGATCATGTAATGCTATACCGAACCTCGGTTAGGTAGTGACGCGCAGCCACATATGACGCCTGCAGGCTTATCTGGCGACTAGTCAAGTGGTAGAGTTGATTGCCACGCCCTCGTACCAAAAATTTGCATTCATACGTCTATGTTCGCAACATTCGGCCGTTCTCTCGAACGTAGTTTTTATATCCACATCTGTACTGGATTCGGAATATGACATCAGATTTCTTCCTGTAAGGTATTACGTCCCTAAAACACATAGGCTGTCTGCGAAGATTTAAGGAAAATCTATAAGCGGCTTCTACTCGCAGTGGTACGCAGAATCTGGTCACGGTACCACAGCCTCATTTCATTTACGTGGTCCTTCACTAGAGCATGGTCCCGTTTGTTTCACTAATTTTCCCTTCAGTCTATCTAACTTCTGATGAAGAGTGCCTGTAGGTGCCCGCTGACATAGAGAGTTTCCAGAGATAATCTTTCTTCCCACTCCTAGCGGCCAGCGGGCTCTAATGTTTTCCCACCTACTTACAAAAAGTGCCCCGGTAATTCCGTTCCAGATATAATAACATCCACATCGCCGTTGTGTTAGGTCATACCTGCTGCTACATTGGCTTGTAGCATGCGTTAGGTAGACTGATCTCTTGAAGAAGAAGAAGAAGAAGACACGATCGCTGGGACAAGAGCTTTATTAGCCTGACGTTCATCTGAAACGTCAGGCTCATAAAGCTCTTGTCCCGGCGATCGTGTCCTCTTCTTCAAGACTGCTTCCTGGGACTCGTCTCTTCGCTTCTATTGGCAGACTGATCTCTTTACGTAAGACTACTTTCTACTATATCTGCTCTTGCTTAGTGTTAGGTGGTTTGTGATTTACCCTTATCTCAGTCTTTCAAGTCTGTGTCCTAGCGATTAGCGTAAGGTCCCGAGGTCCCTATTTCAATGTCTTGTCATCTCATTCCCAACCAAGTTACCTCGAGCGTGCCGCTGGAGGACGTGTCAAGAAGGGATAAAGTGAGATTTATTCCGGTTAGGTTCGTCGCTTGGACTATTTACTATAAACAACAGTGGCGCGGGAACCGTTCATGATTGGGAGTTTGTCAACGGACGGTGTTCGTCGGTCCGGCCTATGATTTGGCGTCGGCCTGCAATTTCCCGTTCTTATTGTGACTTTTATGACAGTTTCACTTATGCAAGATCTACTAACCCATTTGAAGTCCGACGCGAATGCGTGTGGTACGCGCAGACAGAACGCTAAGCCTTCGCGCCCGCGTTCATCCCCGATCCTCTTAACATTTTCTTGCCCTCGGATCTCTCGTGGCAAAGACAGAATTAAGTGAACTGCAAGCAGCTGAAATCAACTGTACTACGAACGTACTCACGTTAGGTCATTATTTTGCTCGCGTCTTGTCCAGTGATGAAGGTCGTCGTTTGAGTCGGGTGAACCGTCGATTGGTGAGGTAGCATAGAACTTAGGCGTGTGTTGTAGGGAGTTCATCGACTCATGCGGGCCACAAAACCTCGTCAGAACCTATTCGACGCATTTCCTCACATACTTGCCTTCCGGAATGACGACGGTACGTTTCTTTATCAGCTTCTGAACTCTGTTGATTCTTCGGACCGTCTGCCTGGGATCGGTGGTACGGCTGATTCTGTGTGTTTCTTGGTCGCTCAGGAACGCCTGGGTTTGTTTAGTACTCTGGTTTGTCGGAGAAAATGGTGAGCTAACCTTTCTGCTCAGGTATGAGGACTATTTCGGTATCGGCTTCCAACTCCTCCACGGCCTTTTGAGTCACCTTTCGAAGTAGCATTGAAGGCAAGGTGACTTGGTGCTGAAGATGGGTGCCGATTTGGCGTAACACTTGTTCGAAAAAAGCAGTTGTGACAAGCATACTGACGTTGGTCGTGTTAAAACGAGATCTACGATGAACAGCCATCGTCTGGACGCCGGCAAGTCCTCTTCGGGAGGATTTTTAGGGCAAACTTTTCTGAGCTTCTACGGCGTCTGCGGTTCAATTACTCCAAAATTTATGAGTAGTTTTGGGCGAGGTTTGGTTCTGCAGTCCCAAATGGTTGATACCGTATGATTGGCTTAATACTGCAATATTAGTAAACATACCTTATTTAGCCACTTGCTGGTTTAGGAAGAGGAAGAGAGCGCAAGCAGAGCTCGAAGCACGCAGATGGAAGCGAGCGAAGGTGGCGTGTACGCATTCTTCCCCCGACACAGCCACTTGCTGGATTAAGAGGATAAGGAGGACGTAATTACAACTGGAAGGCCGCGGGGGGGAACCGAATGGTAATTCAACGTGCGTAGCCACTGTCGTAAAACCAACGGAGTTCCACACCATTCGAAAAATTTCATTAGCTAGTCTAACTGGTCGCTTGCTGTATTAGGATAATGAATAGGGCGCAAGTAGGGCTCGAAGCACGCGCAGGGAAGTGCGTGGGAACTAAATCTGAGATATTCGAGGCTGGTGTATAAGCACTTCTCCCACCGTGGCATATTTACTCACTGAATTAAAATAGTAAGGAAGATTCAAATACGTGGTATGTGTAATGTCAGCCTATTCGCATCTACTAAATTCTTCTACAAAGCTGACCATACGGTCTCACTCAGATGGTGCTGCAGGGCCGAACCTTGCCTGGTTTTATTTACCTATCCTCCCGTTTTCATCATATCACGGCTCTCAGAATATTTTCTACTGTGGTGACGGTCGTCTTGTGTTTAGGACGTTGTACGTCTGTTTAGCTGATCAAAAATGACATCCCATCCGTACACTCCTCCTCTTCTTGTGCTAATTTGCCTTAACTTACACTTTCATTACTGTCTAAATACATGTATATATTAAAGTATTGAGCCACGATATCAAGTATGAGGATGGAGCCTCGAAAAAAGTCTCCATTGCATGGAACCACCGATCCTGACCTTTGCAAAATGAGCTTTGGAGGATTCTATTTGACCGCATCTTCAAGTGTTGTGGCAATTAGAATTGTAGACTGAAATGGATTTCCGCGGCCGTTTATCCTAATCATTGCATCAAGAAGACGCCAGTTTGACCAGGAGATTGCTTGTATTGGCATTAACAAAAGGATAGGTCTCAAGACACGTCAAGACAGTTAAGAAGCGTGTGCAAGTCCAGTGAGCACTAGCCCGTCTCCCCATCCCCTCGGTAGTGACACTACGATTTAAAAACGGCACACTGAGAACAACAGTCTAAACCTGGTTATCGTACCCTGTGCGTGTTAGTCTTGTGTATGCGTGATCTATACTGCATGATTCGTATCAGTGATCGGAAACGGACCACACCGTAATATGGCTTTCTTATGCGCCTCCTTGAAAGTAACCATGGCTCCAACTGGCTGTTAACACATATATATTTGCGCAACCCACCTTTTTGTCCACCTGGCATGAGGATTACCGTCGGTTTTACCCAACCGCCCGATTATTTAAGCAATATTTCCTCATTTGCGTTAAGAACTTGCTGGAGTCTCGAAATCATGTATCTGGGAAACCGCGCAGAATGCTTTAGGATGTCTTAGTTATTTTACTTATAGTATTGTAGGCAGAATGATATTACCGACAAAGACAAGGGAGACTGGAATGGCCATTTCTGGCTTATTAGCCGTCGTCAGCCAGCCATACCCAAGTCCGAAGTGTGGAACACCCGAGACTCGAACTCGCGACCGACAACGGAACGAGTGAGTTCCGTATCAACGATCGGTGAGCGCCCCCCTAACACTGTATATTTCCGATCGAAAAACCGACAGGGCAACGGGCTCGTGGCCCGGTGAGTAGAGGCGTTGACTTCTAAACGAACAGGTCGCGAGTTCGAGGCTCGGGTGTTCCACACTTCGGGCTTGGGTATGGCTGGCTGACGACGGCTAATAAGCCAGAAATGGCCATTCCAGTCTCCCTTGTCTTTGTCGGTAATATCATTCTGCCTATATATCATGCGCCGCTGTGTGGCTGCTGGTTGGGCTCGAGAGAGAGAGCCCTTAAGGCACAACGGAACGAGTGAGTTCCGTATCAACGATCGGTGAGCGCCCCCTAACACATTATAGTATTGTTTATAGTGGCTATGTCAGCATGTTAGTTTTTCTACATATGTTGTAACACCTTTCGTGTAATCTATTTTACCCGATCGTGAAAAAATCGGTGACCTCGGTAAGGTTCGAATCCACGACAGCTAGGGCTTGAGTACAGCCAACGCTCTGATCGCTGGAGCTACGAGATCCCACGGGCTAACCTGGTTCAAATGTGATAAAACTCATGACTCCCGGTGGGGCGTCGTAGCTCAGGTGATTGGGTCGTTGTCTGTATTAACGTCAAGCCCTTTCTACTTTGGATTCGAATCCCTTCGAGGCCGCCGAGTTTTCACAGTTGAAGTAAATGGATCATTTAGTTGTCTGCGGCCGAGCATACAGAGATGTTTGCTTTTCTACTAACCGTTTACGAGTAGTACGTTTTCCGTAATCTAATTCATATGTCTAAAACAAGTTAAATAGCGAGATCACTTGGAAAGGGAAACTGGGAGATTTAATAACCCCCGTAAAGAAGCCTCACAGACTTGAATTGACTGAAATTGCGATAGCCTTTCTTGTTGTTTAACACATTTTAATGCGTAAAGATTCTATCGATCCTTTCGCGGATAATATGGGCGTCTTCAAGAGGGCGCTTTTTGCAGTTAAACATCTACCCTTCACCACTATTTACCAGTTGACGGCCGGGATCCTGGAGATCCGTCTGGGTGTGCACTTGGTGTCTCCTGCCTCGGGCGTCAATGCTCAGCAGAAATCTGCCTCCATTCTGCCACCGGCTACTTTCATCACCGCGCACTTCGCACTTGAAGAAGGTGCTCGAGAGGAGAGGTCGCGCTCCTTCGCCCAGTACGGACGTCAATGGTGGCAGGAATACTGTCTCCTCCAGCGTGGCGCCTTCAAAGGCAGAATGGTGAAAATGTATGCCCTTGACGAGAACGGCAGAGCACAGTAAGTTGGCCAGATGAGAGTGAATATGATTCAACTTTTGGGACTGGCATTTCATGCATGCTCAAACACTCATGGCAATTCTTTTATCGAGCTCAGATAGGACTATAACTGTGGTACACGACCGCTCACCGATCGGGTTACGGAACCTACTCATCCCGGGATCGTTTTAAAATCGAGACCCCGGTGTTCCGCACCTTAGGGTTGGGCATAATTGGCTGACAACGGCTGATAAGCCAGAAATGTCCATTCCAGTTTCCCTTGTCTTAGTCGGTAATGTTATTCAGGACTACACCTGTCTGAAGCGTTGTTTTCTATAGTGCACAGTGATCAAGTTTGCATTCTGTTTTGGATGGTTTTGCGAGCTTTTAAACATGAAAAACGATGTTGCGACCCACAGATTAATTGAATTCGGTCGAGTTACACTTTTGCACCACATACCGTGTTAGGCTCAAGTATCCGTGTGTCTCCATCAGCATCAGAACCAGAAGAGAGAGAAGATGCTCTTGCTGAAACAAAAATTTTATTCACGTGACGTTTTGGATCCACATTCGAACCTATAATCAGAGACAGTAGCAGAAAATGGCGATGGCAGCACAAGAAGTGCAGTATTTAGCATACGCGGCTGTCATTAAACCACATGGCTGTTATAATTAGCACCCGCCTCCATCGCTGGGAGTGGTAGTTGATGCGATGATCGCTCGTCAGTTCGTATCCGAGGCGTCAACCGCCGTGATTTTATCAACATTTACTCTTGTCGTGATGACGACTCAGCAATTCGTCTCGCTGTCACTCGAACTTCGATCTTCCGGACAAATTACTCTGTCCAGGCAAGCTCTGGTACAGGCGATGGAGGCGGGAGGCCAGGAGACCTGTTAATTGAGTAAGGGTCGACAAATATGACAATCAGTTCGCGGCTCACGCCGTTTTCACCTTTTATGAGAACTTTGGACTCACTTAAACCTGAGTGTGGTAGGGTCCCGATAAATGGACCGGATCTGGGAACCAGCGTCCTCCTCAATGCTACTTTAGGCTGAGCCATCCGCGTCCAGTATACTCTCTTTGTTTCTCCCTCACCTTTATTTGTGACGTCTTAGATGATAAATTTTAGTGACAATCGGAAATTCCAGGCTAACAAACTTGTCCCAACGATCGTATCTCCATCTTCGAACTGCCCTCAGGAACTCGCTTCTTTTTCTTCTTCTTCTTCTTCTTCTTCTTCTTCTTCTTCTTCTTCTTCTTCTTCTTCTTCTTCTCCTTCATCTTCTACCACAACCACCACCACCATATTCATCATCATCATCATCATCATCATCATCATCATCATCATCATCATCATCATCATCATCATCATCATCATCATCATCATCATCATCATCATCATCATCATCATCATCATCATCATCATCATCATCATCATCCATCCATCCATCCATCCATCCATCCATCCATCCATCCATCCTCCTCCTCATCATCATCATCATGATCACTAAAAATCCCATGCATACTAAATTGCTTTTGCGATTCCAGGGATTTTCTGGGTTCCAATGTTCCTTATTGGCATCCGCACTGTCCACTCTTTTGCGAACTTATTCAAATTTTACATCACATCTGAGATCTTATTGAGACTAACCTCTTTTGCTTTCAAATCAGCATCATCTACTCTTTTTGCTACGTCTTTTGATTTGAATCTTTGCGTTTATCTTTTGAATTACATCCCTTCTCAAGTTACTCTGAGAACCATCGAACGCGGAGTTCCTCAAGAAATTGGTCCTTGAACTCTCGTTTACATCTTCAGGATGTTTACCGAAGTCTATCGGACACTTGAACATCCACCTTGTACTTGATCCTTTTGTCACATCACTTGAACGATTGCCGATTTTAACACCACTGTCATCCTCGACAGCTGACGAAGACTAGTATGCTCTGGATGGCTTCTTTAGAAGTACAATAGGAATTATTCTGCCACCACTTATTGAATTTCCCCCCTGCAAGCGGCTGATGGGAGAGTACACAACCGGACGGGCTGACGTTTGCTTAACCGAATCAGATTATACAAAATAATCTTTTTAGCTTCATTCTCCCCTCCGCCATCAACTCTCATTACTACGTGATACCCACCCCTGCTTCTGTCGACTTCGGCCATCCGGCTTTATCGTAGAATGACTTTATGCCGTTATCTCATTGTCACCTCGCTGGCGTGCTTGTTTAGCCGTGTGTGCTGCCACGCCGATCACAGACCTGAGCACGCCACTGGACTTAGCAACTAATCATCAGACCGCCTGCTTGCTTGTGCACACTGGACGCTAACCTCTCAGAACTGTTGCCCTTAATTCAGATCCCGGATAACCACCGACCAAAGTTATGGGGTTGGTAGTCTAAATAAAGGGGCGTAAATTGACGATGCTGCCGACGGCCTGTATCTGCTCCCCAACATCCCGCCCACACATGCACCTGAGCTAAAAAGTCACAGGTTGATTAATCTTCATTTACTATACGTACCAGAGAAGCGATCGAACGATGCCGTCACTGATAATTTGGTTATGTTTTCCAGCAGTCAATAATCAAGTTGACTCAAAACGCATCCTTTCCTTAGCTCTTTCCCCTCTAGATCTCTTCAAATTAAATCGAGACTAAACTAAGCATGTTCTGAGGATCCGGTCGTTCCCCGATATCGGAAAAACGAGTACCCCCCGGTTCCAGATCAGACAAAGCACAGAAGATAATCGATTGTGGTTGTCTGTATCACTGTACACTCTGCCCCTGATGTTAGTGTAAGCAACTGGCAGACATTTGGCTTGCATGAGAGTTAACTTAATCAGCTGCCAGTTTTTTATCTCGGGTCTGTTATTTCATGCTAACTAAAGACTGTCCTGACTTCCAATTCAGGTTTGCCTCTCGCTTCGTTCATCCGCTGTCTGACGAACGATGCCTTGGAACGGTTGGTCGAGCAGTGCGCTTTGTTGCTTGCATTCCCTCCAGCCAGTGGTCTACCGTCGGCGCAGCCCATCAGGACATTTGGTGTACAGGTAGGCCCATTTGCGTTTCGCATTAGTGAATGTTCTTTACATGGCGCGGTCAGAGGGGGCACGCTGGTCAGAGGACGATCCTGATTCACGCCCAGCGTGTTGTCATAAACTCCACTGATACGACTTAGTGGATTTCTACTGACTACTGCCATATTTTCGGCGTCCACTGCGCCGTGATGCTTGGAAAATCGGCCGTACGAACGGCATAACGTTACTTAACACCATGGTCAGCTCATACGGAGCGGTGCGGCTGTCAAAAGGGTATTGGAACAGCTGCTGGATGCACATTTTCATGTCTGCTAGTCTAACCATGTCATAATGCATCTATTTGGGTCTGAATGGCTCTGCCGCCTACTGCCTGGAAGTATTGTTCCTACACATCGAACCACTCTCAACTTGTCCTCTGTTTTAATAATTCTTGTCTGATCTACTGTGAGGAAAGCTCTGCTATTTTGTGACAATCATTCTTCGGCGATGAAGTGTAGCACTACATATATGAAAAAAAATATATATATATGCTTAAGGATTCGAGGTACAGGCATTGTATCGCATTCATCATCTCCCGAAGAAGACGAAGAAGAAGCAACCACCCTGTTGGTTATAAAGGCAGTTGTGTCAGAACTCTCTTTCAACGTGTTCAAACACACTGTAGCGACGACAGTGGGAGGGAGGAGGAGATGAATTACTTACAGGCCCTTTTTTAAAGCCAACGACTACCCGAAGTCCTTCATACGCAATTGCCTCAAAAACCCTCATTTTGAGCGGTCGAGTTGAGAAAAGCCATGTTCTGGCTCTCAATACCCTATCTGAAGAACGTATCAGAGGCAACGGCGAGAATCCTGAAACCTTTTGGGATTGACGCGGCTTATAAACCCGAATGCACCATCATACAGCAAATCATGAAGCCTAAAGAGCCGCTACCAACAACAGAACAGTCGGCGGTGGTCTACAGCATACCATGCCTAAATTGCAATACGAGGCATGTTGCTGAAACGGGCAAACGCCTCGGTACAAGATTGCACGAACGCCAACTTGTGATCAACCGCAAGGACAAGCTGTCTGTGGTCTATGGCCACATACGCGAATTGAACCACGATTTTTCCTCTGAGAAAGCGAGGGTAATTGGTCTAGCCAATGAGAAGATGGTCAGACTGGTGCTCCAATGTTGGTCCTCGACTGACACACTCAACCGAGCTATAGATCTACATCCCGCCTACCAGGCGCTGCTTACAAGGCTCGGATCAGTCCGGACAGGACCAGTAAGGCAAGCGAGCACGCAGGAGTCGAGAGTCAACGCTCACGGAAAAGAGCGGAGTTGAGGGCCAGAGGTCATGTGACCGAAGCCGAACACTGTCTCACCGATGCGTCCGCGAAGATGAATGCCGCTCATCTAAAAACAACGACCGATCAGTCCACCGGCTGACGTGGGAGAGGCCAATCGGCACGTTGATTTGACCACAATTACGCCGACCTCAATGGGAACAAAGGTCACGCAGGCCTGTCAGCGGTCAGCCCCGTGGAGGTCTAAACCAGTCAGCGGCAAACAGGCAGGTCAAAGTTCGTGCGTCGAGCAGGCCTATAATACGAGGCAAGCGGCAAGACTGAACAATGCAAGACCGTCATGAGGCTCGCCATTACACTACGGCGTGCTAAAGCTGCAACGGACTCGAATCGGGTTCGCTTGAGTGCGTAATTTTTGCCAGAGGTGTGGTGGTACGCTTAAGTTCGCGTCCAGCCGTACCAACCACCTGCCCCCCTCCGCCTTCGGTCTTCTTAACTACGTCTTGACACCGAACCCAGGCGGGGGAGAGGAAGAGAGTGCGGTAGGTGCTGTACAAATCCATTAGAACTTAACATAAATTTCCGCAAAAGTCACCATTTTGCTATGGAGCACACGGTGAACATCGCCGGCAACCACCGCTAAGCTGTTATGCTCAGATAAATGTTGCCGTATTTCTAGGTAAATCCTATTCAGCGTTGTGTTCTGATCCGCTACATAACCTACATCGGTATTTCTACGTCAGACCTGAATTCGTATCAGTATGCTGGCTAATAATATCAAGTATTCTGCCACCGTTCATTGCTGTATTGAGTTTAAGTGATTTGTCAAACATTGCAGCAATGAAATTTGGAGGTGATTCGACCAAACCGACTTCGTCCTAATTCTGTTAAGGCGATTGTTTACAGTTTTCTCTAAGCTTATCGGTATTATTTTTTACTTTCAGGCCTTTCATTTCGCTTACAGCTATTTGAGCAATTCCACGCCTTTTTTCGGTATTTTCACTCGTATCCTTGGGTCTTTTGCCTCTATTTCCAGGTCTTTCGTTAATTTCAAGGAACCGCGGCAGTGTGGCTGATCATGCCAATCTTCTCTGCTCGATTCTACTGGGCTTTGGACTTGCTGCATACGTCGCCATTGGCATTAAAGCCCAAAATCGCTGTTTCCATGCCAAAACCGGACCTCCGCAGGACGCCGATAAACCGCCTTACTATGCCTGGGTCATAGTTTTTGGTGTACGACAAACACCTTCATTTTTCTGTAAATATTACTCTTTATATAATCTGTTATTGCGTGTTTTTAGGTTCTGCGAATATCCCATGTTACAATTGAAAAGTCACTTTGGCAAACATGCGTTTTCGGTAAATCGTCATCAGGCCAAAACAGTTACATAGAAGTCGAAATAGGTGGAGTTCGCAGGGTTTATATGTGACTCAGGGGCTATTGACACTCATCGTTCCCACGCATCCGCATGGCGACGTCGGTGGGTTTTGGTCATTGAGTTAAGGAGGCGAAGGGGAGAGGTGACATGGGCTGTGAGCGATGTTTGTAAGTCGGGTGCATTGAACGCACATCACTGTCATCAGGAGGTTGGGACGGCGTGCAATCATCATCCGGGTTCGGTGTCGGCCACGGAAGACAGCGCCTGTATCAATGTCTTCTGACAACATGGCACTCTATTGGCTAGCCGTATAGCCACTGCCTCGGCTGTAGGTAGCACCCGTTGGCGTAGACCTCTGGAGAAGCTTGCTGGTGTCCGGTAGACAACCTGAATGGCTTATTTGGCATCGACGCGGTCTTACGTATCGACAACATGTGCGAGAATAGAACTCGAAATCGGAAGCGGGATACATTGGCCGTACAACGAGGCGCCTGGAAAAGAGAGTACGTGAACACATACCGGCCTGGCTAGGTAGGGGTGAAAACAAATCGCCCCCTTGACTCAATGACCATAACCCGCCGACCTCTTAGACTTTGCTTGATAGATGAAAGACAGCACGGTATTATAATTCAACCAATTGCCTTTCTTATGTGAAAATTCCGGAATTCATTTTTTACCATCTAACCGGAAACACCAAACGTTCCAGTATGTCGAACTTCCGTTTTGCATAAATTCTAAAGTTTTTGATCCTGCATCCAAGAACTCACTACGAAACAATGTATCTCCGTATGGCATGCGGTAAGCGAAACCTTACCATGCGGTCGCCGTTAAAATTTGATAGGTTTCTGCTCAACTGTTTCAGAAATCGCAGGAGAGTTTTCTACTTTTAGAAAGACAGTAGCAAAGTTGCGTAGTTCTAATTTTTATTCCCAACATGTAATCAGACTGCTTGACGCACTGGCAAATTAGTCCTTTCCAAATTTCATGGAAAAAATACTGTATAATTAATTACTCACTGGTTCTCATGGTGTTTTAAAACAAATGAGGGCTATACTACCCCTACCATCAACTCCTGTTTCCAGTTTATTTTATTGTTCAAGATGGTTCAAAGCCCTGCATTTTGGGAATACTTGTTGAAATGCACCGGGAGGAGCATATTTAACTATTTTCAGAGTCGCGTTTTCGAAATAAACTTGGCATGTTGACGTAGGTCTGTATGTTTGGTTTCCAGGATTTCCAGAAGGAGGAGGTGGTAATATTTGATTCAGTATCTGGAGGTCGTCTCTGGCACGTCTCTGGTGTGCCCTGGGAATGCAACAATTCAAAATCCTCCTCCGCCTCAGATTTGCCAATTGGACCTTCTGACACCATTGACTGCATTTACAACAATCGGGAGTTTTACGCCAACATCCAACCTACGACATCTGTCTCATCCATCTCCCTCAATTTAAGGGTACTTTCAAACCGTTATTCATGCACCGTGTATTCTGATATTGCTGCTTCTGTTGACTTCGCGTCAGTGACGTCCTAGCTATGTTATAAATGGCAGGCTTGTGCTAACACATCATAAATCATGGGGAACTTGGCGTGGCCGGGGTTCATGGTAGGCGATTTTGGAAAAAGAACAATAAACGTTAAGAAGACGTAGTTTTGACTTGCTCACATAGGTTCCTGTGACGTTTGGCCGATAACTGGGATGTATGCATTCATGCGCATTGATTCCTCCGTTAAAGCCCTCCAACAGCGCGTGCCTCCTACTTCTCAGACGTCTTCACACTTCCGTAGACTGAGTCGTAGCGCTGTTGCACACGAAAGGCGGAAATGTGTTCCACCGAATTTGCCGACATGCGACTTCGTCCTCTCCCTTACAGCGATGATATCCACCAGTGCCCTGCGCGTTTCGTAACGCTCTGCAACTAGCATCGTGATTCCTGACCGTGTAAGACGTTGATGCTCTGAAATTGTTGCAGCTGGACTCTGAAACAGCCGCTTCTTTAGGCAGACCCATGCGAATTTACGACGAAATTCGTTTTTGTAGTGTTTGGCTGCTTTATTGAACTGTACGTTGACCTTACCTAAATAACGTACTCCCCATTTTCTTCACATGAGCAATATTTCGGATTCAAATTTTTTGTCAAGTAAAGCAATCTATTGTCTTTTTTCTGCCAAACGTTTAGCGAGCGGTCACTCTTTGCGAAAAATACCTTTTTATTTGTGTGACTTTTGAGGTTATTTGTAAAGTCCCAACTTTTCGAAAAGTGACGCCACGAAAATGACTTTGGGCGCCACGAGTTTCCTATTCGTCCAGAAAACGTGATTTTTAACCGCAATTCGCACACACATCACGTTGTCTACGATTTCTCTTCTCTTTGAGTTTCCAATTTTCAGATAGGAAGGCTTGGTCTTTGCCGAAAGACAGTCTCGCACACCTTTGATTATGCAGTATCAAGCCTGTTAGCCGAAAATCTGAGATACTTTCTTCATAAGAAAGACTTACTTAGGTATGTTTTAAGTGTGATTATTTAGCATTATGATCTAAAGTTATTTCTGGCATGCTTCCAGCAGAAACCCCAATCGGCAAACGGGAATTTTCTCCGTTGATTTTCGATGCCCTTATAAGTATTAATATATTTTATAAAAGACATTCAGAAAATGCGCTTTCTTACACTCGTTTCGTCTTTGCCTGTCAATTTTCAAAAGAGTTATTAATACGCACCAACTTCGAACTCTGTCGGCAGTTGCTCTTGCGCGTAGGGTTTCCAGGCTACATATTCCATATAGAACTTGCAATTTTTCATGAAAGTGGACCATACTGTGTGCTTCTAGAGTGGCGTTAATAAACGGACAGATACGGTGCCGCCTCTATCACGGCCTTAAACATCTCCTATCTACAAACTGTAAGGCACCTTTCCTCAAGGACAGAGTTTGACAAAGACGTAATTTGCTACCAAAAGAGAACACAAATGATGTTTTTCTGCACATTTTCAATATAGTATATAGGAATTTATAAAGTTATCAAAGTTCAATGGGGGAATCGTACTTCTTCAGTTGTCGTATTTTACTGTCTGTGATTTTTTTCTAGACGACCTTACTGAAGTTTTTTTCAAAAGCCGGTGCCCTTCCGTGACTGAAATATTTGGGGATTATACAGCAACATGATCATTATTGCCTTCCTGCCTGAGTAATTATTTCTTATCGAAAACTCATTTCAGCTTTTATGCTAGCCTTTGTGATTTAGGCCAGACACTATTTCCTCTTTATCGAGAGCGTTGCTAAGCAACTGCGTATGACAGGGCTCATCAGTGACATGGCTCATCAATGATTCCCCATGTACTAGTATACACTCTGGTTTTAATGCTGTCTTTGTTAATCTCTTCCGAAATAAACTTGGAGTAAATTCTTGGCCACAGGCCTTCTCAGACTCGATCCGAATGTTGGATCGTAGCCACGTCGTACAGCCCTACAAAGTCGACAAAACGTGTGCCTGAACTTTTAAACAGAACTATGGCTATAACAAATTCTCCTGTATTGCATGCTGGTGACCACCGCTCTGCAGAATGTAAATATCATGTGGTTATTATGCCGTAGATAAAGAATCTCTGGTTACCTTTCAGACTTAAGCCGAACTGTTTTGTGCCGGCTTATTTACTTGACCATTGTACATGAATTGCCGTGGTAATTAAGAGGTCAAGCTGCGCGTTTTCTAGTTTCTATTTCTTATTGTTTTATTTTCAAAGCGCCTGTATAGTTTGCATAAAATGTACACCCAGGATTGACTAATAAATAAGGTTGGTCAGATGCCCTAGTTCCGGATTTCCTTACTGCATTTTGAAGGGAATTTAAGCGGCTCTGTTTCTGTGGCATAACTTGAATAAAAGAGCTTTGGGCACAATGGTTTTCCAGACTGTTTCTCTAAAATAATAATAGTCATCAACCTAAGGAATTTTGCTAAATGCCAAATTCATATTGACCTAACTGTGAAAAAATCGACACTTCGGTGGGACTCGAACCCGCGACAATAAGGGAAAAGCTTTTATACAGCCTGTCATCCAGTGGATTGCAGGTGGATTGCTTAGGAAATACTGCTTGGGCAGTCAGTTTACTGTAACAGATTTGGTGGATTCCAGACGTTGCATTAGGTTGGGCGGGTGACTTGACTTAAATGTGATTAAACTCGCGTCGTCCGGCGAGGCCTCGTAGCTCAGGTGGTTAGAGCGTTGGCTGTACTAAAGCCTTCCCCATACTGTCGTGGGTTCGAGTCCCACCGAAGCGCCGAGTTTTTCACAGTTAGGTCAATATGGATTTCATAGTTAACAAAACTCCATACATTGATGACTATTATTATTTTACAGGTTGCACGACGACTGGCAATTAGGTGCTGAGAAACATTTTTTGGCAAAGGCGAGCATGAGTCTGGAATGGCGGCTGTTTTCCGGTTAGTTCCCGTCATCAGCCAGCGATGTGCACCTACCAAACGGCAGTTTGAAATTCGGATCCTCCGAGTGAATTGACCATCGAGCAACGCTTTCACCGCTGTACTAACGAACACGAGTTACCTCACCTCTGGTAGAAAGCACTCCGTCACATGGAAGTAGTCTGCACCGATTTATTCAGATTGCAGAAGAGAAGGGGGTATACCAGTCGCGCTATCTTTTTCCACAAAGACTCTCGATGACTGATTGTTACTCACTATCCAGGTTATTTTAGAGCCAGCTGGAATGTCATTTTCCTCAATGACATGTTGTACTATTATATACTGACTGCAGCGTAGCACTGCAAATATTGCAGTATTTGTCGGTACTCCTTTCACTTAATTGCTAATTATATAAAGGTAAACGTTCTAGTGGATTTTATACGTTATAGTTACTTCTAACAAGGTGGATCGGCAGAGGTGCGTTGGGCGCAACGTTCGATGCTCGTGTCGACGGCTAACCCCTTAGTCCTCCATCCCAGTCTCTCTTAGGTTTTGTCGGAACTGCCTCCTGTGTTATTGGTGATCACTAAGTGACAGTCTGCGAGGGGTATCTGTTGAACCCCAGGACGCAACGGGGCGAGCATGTCCTGTGACCCGATCGGCGAAGGACATCCCCAGGGAAATCCCCCTTGCCTAGAAGTTACCGTTGTGATGGAACCAAAGTGTATTCCCTATCCCCGTTGCTTTGTTTTATTTCAATATATTTAGTGTTGTTGTCAAAGCCTTCGGAAATTCTATTGTTTACATTACCGCATGTTAAATACAACCACGTCCGCTTACTGAACAAGTGTCATCATTAAGGTGGTATTTACATAATTTAAGTAGCATTTTTTAAACAAACTCCTGTCTCTATTTGACGTGGTTTTCAGTTCGGGTTCAGTGTCGAGAATATATAACTATGCGAAGACAAAGATGTCCTTCTTATCTAAAAAAATACGGTTACCTACACTCTAATCCCTCCAGTCTGACTTTACTAACAACCAATATTCAAATTAAGTAAGATTATGAACGTAGAACCTCGCTTAGATAAATGCTGTTTTCCAAGGAAACTTATGAAATCATAGAAAGCCACATGGATTCAAAGGTCTGTTCTGGTCTTAAAAAGTCTCCAACGTAAATGCATTTTGCTAGGAAAGGACTTTCGTTCTAATGCGCTGGCACTCAAGTGCGCGGCATTGAGGTATCTTTTACTAACAGTCTGGAATTTAATCCACATATGTTTCTAGTTTTATTACTTTTATGCGCCCTTCTTACATTGCCTCCGTCACTATATCCATTCTTTTAAAAAATAACATGTTTAACACAGGACTCGAAATCATGGCGTCCCTTTTCTGTGGAGGCGATGGATCTCCTCTCTATGGACAGCACCCTGGCCCTTCAGCGTCTTCTCCCACCTCTGGTCGATGCAAATGCTCTCAGTGAACTTCTGGAGACACAACTGAAAGACTGCGTTACGAAATGGCGACGACATCAGCTTCTTCTCAGAGCCAGGCCGGGTTTCGACGAGGTTTTTCTGGAAACGGCTACTCCCTGGGACGATGCTCTAGGCCAGTTGCTTTTACCAATGCTTTTCGAATTTGAGAACGACGCCCAGAGTCAGGAGGTTGTTCCGATCCCGGGTCGGCGGGATTTCAATTTTGTCTCGGCTGCAGTAAAGAAGTATGTGCCGTCTGGCTACACCTTCAAAGCCTATCCCATTCAGGTACGCACTTATTTTCCATAAGCATTTATCTTAAGCTGCAAGATTGGAGGGCTTTGGGGGGATTTCTAGCCCAAAGAAAGCAAACAAAAACTGCCTGTAAAGTCACGTTTGGGTCTTATATTGAATATTTTACAAAATGACAAGTAATTTAAAATGTTTTTAAACTTTCTGCCAACATTCAATAACAGGTCAGAAGTTGCGTCAACCCAAATCCCTGCATTTGCGAGTCCTTGTTATTTTGGCCAGAAAACCCACAAGATTAACAGTCGAAGTCTCACAATCCTGTGTCAATGGATAGCGTTTTTGAAATAGGCATTTAGTAATCATGCAGTTGGGTGCATCGATTAGCGATACCATCGGTCGCAGTGCTACCTAATATTTGGGAGTTCTAGGCAATACATTGCTCTTAACCATGATCAGTTCTGTATGACTTAGGGATTTGACAGTATCTGCAGCCACTCCCACCTTCCCTGTAAAACGCTCAAGCATGTTACCAATGAATAAATCTGCGTTTTTGCAGATTGTATGATACGAGGGTTGTAGATTGACCTAAATTGTAAGAATGCACCATGTTTTCGATGTAGTTTGCTTTGTCCGAAATTACAGTCGAGCCTCCTTTGTCCACAGGGAGAATTATAATGCTTTTTACAGTTATCAGGATTGCGAAAATTCTCATGGTAGAACTCAAACGAACAGCTCGATGTGGAAAACATGTATCATCGTTTCGTTTAGATTCGAGTTTATGTAAAGGCAGGTTTTCTCAACAGAATCTCATACGCTGCTTCTTAAAGGCTCGGAATTACTGAAGTCAATAATGAATAGTCGTTATGAAGGCACCAGGCATGCTTTGGTCGTTACGCGATGCAATTTGATATCCTTGGGTAGATGTCGTGGCAGGTTTTACTTGAGTAGGTTTTGGAAAAAACTGCTCTTTTCGGCATCTATGTAGAAATATTAGCTGCTCTTGCGTAAAGCTTTTGAAAACTGCTGTTATTTTCCATCGCCCAGCCTGTAAATAAAATTTTCGATTGCAAATAATACATACAATATGTGACCTGCCTCAGAAAGAATGGCGGGATGTACAAAAGGTTGCTAGTGATTCGTACACCGGCACACGCGAATGGACGAAAGCTTTGAAATAATGACGAACGATTTTAGGCGAATTGGAAACAAAGGAAATACCTAAATCAACAGACGGTAGCTTAGAAATACCAACTTCCTTAGAGAAGAGGAACATCCACAACGAAAGTCAGCAATGTATATTTACTTTTTCTTATATCTCAGGATTTTTTGGCAGATTTTGAGTAATTTATTTTGACCCAACTGCGAAGAACTCGTCGCCTCGGTAGGATTCAAAACCACGACAGCAAGAGGAAGGCTTTAGTACAGCCAACGGTCTAGTTATCTGAGCTACAAGGCCCCATCTATGAATCACGTAAGCCTTATAGTCATCTGGTGGATTCTAGATGGATTACTTATGAAATCCTGCTTGGGCAGTCAGTTTACTGTATCGGATTTGGTGAATTCCTGACGGTGCAGGAGGTTGGGCGGGTGACTTGACCCAAATGTGCTTTAAGTCACGTCTCCCGGCGGGGCTTCGTAGCTCAGATACTTAACGCGTTGGCTGTACCAACGCCTCCCCATGCTGTCGTGGATTTGAATCCCACCGAAGCACCGAGTTTTTTATGGTCAGTTTTATATGAATTTCTCTGATATGTGACCTTATGAAAATGCGTGGGGCTTGCGTATTTTGCAGTTTAGCTCGTTTTTTGAAGGTAGATTCAACTTAACAATTGCGACTTTTGATAGGCTTTTTCAATTTCCTGAAAATCGTTGATAACGTTTCTACTGCAAAGGGAATTATTCGCCTATCTCTTTATAGTGGGGGTTTTGCATTGTATTAGTTAACTTTTAGCTCCTTTCTACGACTGTAAATGTATGACTGAGTGGCCGTATTATTACTAAGATATTGGTGAAACCGTTAACCTTCCACCGTTTCGTTTCTGACTTCTTACAAAGTATTATTTCGTACGTTTCAGAGTTAGCATAACTACTATACAGAGCGGCGTTTCGCGGTAATATATAAATTATTCTTTTTAAAGCAGCAACGTAGCAGAACGTTTTGACATACAATTGTCAATGGATGTTATTACTGCGTTTTGGACATGAAATCACAAATATTTGCAAATCTGACTTTAAAATCGATAAACCGCCTGTTTTGTTCGAAAAATAACTTGTTTGCTTACATCTGGCTTTATCTAATCAACATGATAAAAATAAATTATCTCTAAGTGCGGAAAATTGCACTCGACAAAGTTCTCCTGCTTTCATAACTCTCTTCTCATATCAAAGTACGCGCGAATGTGCCAGTGTAGTCTATGGTAGCTAACAGCAAAGGAAACCGTCGGAGTACGAGGTAGCACGGGTTTCCGCTCCAATCTGTAGAACTTTTGACTGGTAAAATTATATACAAACATATCGTGAAAAGGAAAATGTCATTTTCCGAAATAATTAAGTCGAATAATTAAAATGCGTAGCATTTTAGTTGTCCCTGATTGATCCTCCCATGTGCTGTCATCACATTTCATGCATTTTACACTTTAGGTATTGGAGGAAGTAAATTCTATGTAATAAACTCTGAAGAAAATGCTTTGGAATGCCCGTCTTCCATAATGTATACTGACAGAGCGATATTACCAAAAATACAAGGAAGACTGCAATGGTCATTTCTGGTTTATTAGCCGCCACCAACCACCCATACCCCAAACCCAGGCTGGGTAAAAGAAGATTTTCAACGCTAGTCATTGTGTAAACTAATTCGTCTTGTCATTTGCCTATAATATCAATTGACGATACGCACAGAAGTGGCCATGTCTGCAAGATCGAAGTTGTGTTTCAATGATTTCGACAGCCGCATCCTCTAATGCGAGGCGCAATTCGTCAGTGTCTCCTTTATGCTTTCTTACATAAGTACTCTTTTCGAGTTATGATGAAGTGACTTTGTGTTTTAAATTACTTCCAGTTTGTCAGTGACCGCTACGCGGTAATTCCAACGTCACCTCGACAAGTTGCGTAAATGTGGGATGTGCGTCAAAACGACATGACGATGACTTAAATGTCCATTTTCATTGCTATCAACATGCCACACCCCAATCCGCGAGGTCTCCAGGTTAAATCGTCAGGTTAACACAGTACAATCATGACTCAACGTAACGTAACGAAACTTTGCTTTCACAAGAGTTTGGCTACATGTGTATTCGGCGCCGGATTTAGCACGCTCTATCGTAATACGTGCTTATTATTCCTATAATAGTTCCTACGCTGCTCTTTGTCAGGCATCCGAGCGAATAATTCCAAATAAACGTAAGTCTTCATCGATAAAGCCAATCGTAACTCATCGCTGTTGATTCTACAATCGTAAGTTGTTTTGCTAAAATTGCACGCAGTGTTTATGCCCTTCGTTACCGAAATCGCGGTTATCTGACTGTAATGTTTTGAAGATAGCCTACAGCGTCAGTTATCCTCGCCGGTAACACCTGTTCCCGAGTGCGTGCGACACTAATATCTAGCATTTTGTCGTCAATATTTCATGTACATAGTTTTGACGATAATACTTTTGAACTATGTAGAAAATAAATAACTTTTAGTAGTGAATAACCTTTAATGCGCGCATTTTCGAGTCTGTTTCCCCAGCTCATTGTCAGATGTTTGGACTATGTACAAAAACAGTTAACAATTTAGCCGTGTTGTACAGGTAAATCTATAGTTGGCCGAAGCCTGCTCCAATGCGCGTCAATGGTCTTTCGTCATTCCCTCGCCATTGGCTGCGCTCGCTTCCATTTGTCCTTGCGAAAATTGTATTTGGCATCTAAATCGATATGCCGTTTGATGCATGTCTCATCCGAGTGCATTGCCCTAGTAATTCGCGGCCTTTCCTTATTGGGCAGGCGCCAACAATGCGAGTGTTCTCCCATGCAAATTTGTGTCTAATGTCCAGTGTGTGCATAGTCACCCGAGATAGATGACCTCGTCTACTTACCGCTTACTGATGCTCATGTCTGCGGGTACAGGCAGATTTCCCAGTTTGACCACAGTAGACGACATCACAACTGGAACATGGTATTTTGTAGACAATGCCTTGTCAATCAAGATAGCCAACCCTGTCCTTAGGATGTACAAGCTGTGTACGCAAGGTGGTTGTATGTTAGTGTGCTGCTTGTATCTGATGCTTTTTCAACTGTCTTTGGACGATTTCAGATGCATTTTTTACGTTTCGAGGGACCCGCCAGGTGAATGTTTTTTGGTGCCTAGGTGGCCGTTGTTTTCGAAATACCCTTCTGTTTAAACTCATGTTTCATGCAATGACGCACAAAGTGGCGCAGGTACCCGTTGTGGGAAAATAATTTGAAAAGGTAGTTCACTTTTGCTTGCTAACTTTCTTCATCAGAGCAGTGTCTTTTTATTCGGTTTAGCAGGCTGTATACAGCACTCTTGTGAGAGATGAGACAGTTATCCCAAAATGTAAGATGACCTCGGAGTATGTTTCTTTCCGATAAACTGAAGTGTAAAGGGATCCATCTGTTTTGTATTATATTCGTGATTTATGCTTTTTCTATTCGTATTTTGGTCACTCATTTTCATAAAGCAGCATTGATATAAAAATTAGCAATTGGTTAATAACTTTATTCTACGTATGCGAAGATTTTTTCCAGTTTTGATGGATGCAGATAGCACGAAAGATTTTCAAGCAGAGGTTGTCTTGGATCTCGTCCATTGTTCATTTTGATGCAGAAGTCTCTTGTGCAATGGGCGATTTGGGTAGTTCAATAGCATTACTCAAACGACGACATTTTGGGCTCTTACGAGTGCACAGTTATTCATTTCGGTCAATATGTCATGCGTGTTGACTCAGTCTACTGTCTTGCCAGCAACAACTTTCAGTCTTTTTGTTTACGTTTTCGCTCCCATTGTATGCACTTCAAAATGGAGCAGACTGACAGATCTCGCACAAGGTCGTGGGTTAAGAATCGTAAGATGATTCTCTCGACCTCCTAATGCGCACACTATGACGAGATTACTCACCGCAAACCTGAGCAGATAGGACTGTTCAGGCCTATATTTAATATGATAGGTGCCCCAGCCAAAGGTATGATTTCTCCCAGGAAGGATTACTTGGGTGACCTTGCAGCACTGAGTATCTTACAATCGGGGTTGAAGGCCGCTTTCTGACAGGAATCCTTTCATCTACCGGCAAAACTCACACTAAGTTATAGTTGGGGAAGTGAATACTGTGCGTTTTTTCGATCTATTTCTGGTGTCTGAGAAATTGCAATCACCTTGTGATGCTTTCTAGAACGCGTTCAGAAATCAGCATGTCGTGCCTAAAGCTAGGGTCTTTCTTGTTTACAAAAGCTTGCAAGCATCTTCAGGTGTTTGTGATATCTAATGTGCACCACATATCCATTCCATAAAGTTTTGAGGATAAAAAATGAGTTCCTTTATATTTTGAGCGTGGCGGGAATTTGAAAGTCGAGTGTGCCCATAAAATACCAATTAAGTTAAGCACATAAGCGAAATTTAGAAAGTTGCAACAGAACGGCGTAAAACCTCTCCTTCAAGAGTGGAATTTAAGGAGGTCGTTATTTCTTTTGAAACTGGTACAAGGCATGCCTTCTGTTTGTTTTATAAGTAATTAATATTATACAGATGACGAACTTCAAATTTAATAATGTGCTCCACTCAAGTAATTAGTTCTTAGCGAGTATTGTTTTCACAGGCGACCGTAAGGTCTTTGCCAAAAATCCGGTTGATTTTGTGAAGAAGAAGAAGATAGGCTGTCCGGAGAGCCTATTTTCTTCTTCAAACTTCCAGAGTATGGTTGACCTGATAAATCCTTTTTGATATAAGTTATATTTTAAAATTTCAAATAAGGTTTCATGTGTTTCATTCGCCTACCCTGTACCGCATGTAACTTAACTCGTGTAACGTGACGGTGGTCACCAAAACAATCATTTTAGGCACTCGAAACTTTGAGCACTTGTTCACTCCCCTCGTTTCCTCGCCTTGTTTGCAATAATAATGCCCACAGACAATTCTATGTTTAAACAAACAGATTTAATCCTGCCATTTGCGAATACAACATTTACTTTAAGGGTTCAATAATCAAGTGGCTATTTTAACTTTAAAGTTATGCTGAGGTACTTTTCATGCGGTCTAATCTCTATACGTATTTTTGATATGGACATTAACAGTTTCAGCAATATGAGCAATGTATCACTATTTATACGGCCACTCCTATTTAGAATATAGGCTCTCCGGAACAGTTTTAGTTAGATGCCGACGTTTCTAAGAGCTTGGTCGGCTCTCCATTGTCAAGGCGTAAAATTTTCTTAATCGATCAGAATTTCCAAGTGGCGTGTCACGTTGGTCAGCCTCCTGCTGATCGATTTTTCTCTCTTGCTGCCTCGACCTCTCGGGGGAGGGGTGAAGGGCGTTTTGTCTGTGTGCAATGAGGGCGACTGCAAATGTGGGAGAAACCGGGGGAAAATTGCAGACTTGCCAAAGTAACAGCATTTGGTATTAGGTATTTCGAGTTTTCAATTACCTGGAGTTCGTTTGTTATTGGAGTACAATGAATAGGTTTATTAAAACAGCTCTTGGGGAAACGTCAGTCTCCACTGAACACAGGAGAAAGCTTAAGACAGACGAGTCCATCCTGGCTTCGTGGATTCGTTTCTGATTGAGTTTTATCTGGCTAAGGATTTTTCGTTAATTTAACCAAATTGCAAGAATTAGCTCGTCTGCTGCATGTCTGGGGATCCTCAGCCGCAGACGACACTAGCAAACTGTGACTCTAAGTGCGTCTTTATAATCATGCAATCCCTCGATTCCAATGTTCAGACCTCTGCAAACTGAATTTTGTAATTGTTATGACACTCAGATGTCACGATTATGTGCTTTAAGGCATCATTCCGTCTGGTAATTGTATGCGAGTAGCCACCTTTCATGTCCCTCCGAATTATGTTACATGCGGCTATTCCGTTGAACTCATTGTTATTAGTCCCAGGCTTACAGCAAGCATTCTTGTTTCATATAAATGTTAAAAATGGCATTATTTCTTAAGAAAAACGTTTAAGAGAATTACGTTATCTACACCACGTTTATCTTTAATCACTTTTGCCATTGCTTTCTGCATTTTTCTAGTTGCTCCATCACGATGCATCGAGGGCCCTGATTAGCGCCCTGAAGTCTCCAGTCTGTCAGGATATTCTGACTTGCACAGGGACGGACCTGCGGTTGGCTGTTCGGGCGCAGGTTTTCGCTTACGCGGAGACAGTTGTCGTCTCGTGGTGTATCTTCGCCTGCGTTTACAAGTCCTAACGCACTACTCTATAAAAGGATAAGAAGGACCATCTGCCATCTGATTCTTGTATTTTCCTCACTTTTATACATTGTGACCTACCCTAATGTCGAGCGTTTGTTGATGAATAATCCACGTTGTTGTCCGATTCATCTAAGTGTCTTTTTAGGGGTTATTTCGGTGCTTGACCCAACTGAGGACTGTCGCTGTTATTGCGTGTTCCCGCCACCGATTTTGGCCTTCATAAAATGGGCCCCAACGCTGCATTAGACGGTAGATACAGGTTATTTTGGTGTCCCCGGCCTGCTCTTGCGGCACCTAGTTGCGCTCGTAGTAGCCCACTGACAGAGGTGAAGGTGGGTGTTTTATTTGGGAGGAAAGGCCATGAACCTTGTTGCTTTCGCTTTTATCCGCGGGATAACTAGGCACATAGTGATTTCCGGATCATCCACGCCCGTTGAAATTTAGTCTGCGTTCACCGTCTCCGATGGTATTCAACGCTAGCTCCTGTTAGACGGTCGAGTCCTATGAAGTCAATCCGACTGACCAGATTTGAACAGGGGCAGACTCAACGCTCGTGTGTAAGAATCATAGGCAACTGAAATCACCCTCCCCCCGAAGCATTGCTCGGTTTTAATCCTCAAACAATAACAACTTTCGAACATCAAACAGCCCTCGGGTAATTGACAGTGGTGATTTGTTTCTGATGTTACATGTTCAGGCGAATATCGGCAAGTTGGGCGCCCTAGCGAACGGAAAAAAGTTTTTTTCCGTTAGTTTGTTGTGCGTCGCATTATCAGTCACGTCAGCATGTATAAGTTCACTGCTGCCTGATCTCAATTATTTCCCGGTCATGACGTTATTTTTAAGCCACTCGGTACATAAAACTGCGTAGAAAATCGTTGCGACTGACTCGGCTAAAATTAGCAGACCATTTCCTGGAGACCTTTGTAACGTATGTATACCGTTGTCTTCTCAATCCTAAGATGTTACGTTGTTATTCTCATGCTCCTATTAAACCTCCGGGTAATTTTTTATGACGCAAGTAGCCGACGTGCTTGAAGTCACACAAATTCTTTGGCGGATTTGTTTCACTATGTAAAGGGAGGATATTATGCTTATGCTCGTACGACCAAACCCACTTTCACTTTTTCTATTTTAAACCCAGAATATGAACACACTAAAGGTGGGTTTTCGCGTGTTACTTTTCGATTTCGCCTCTTTAAGTCCTTGGCGCCGATTGTATGTTACATGACGCTAAACTTATAACCTTTCAGTCGCGGTTTTGTCATCCCAGTTTAACTCGAGGTAATTGGGATTTCATGATGATACGTAGGAAGCCTGAATTCGGCTCTTTCAATGTAAACACTTGCGCTGATCCGTGAAGATGGGAGTACGGATCGATCGACCGGCCCCGGCCAATCAGCTGGCGCGCGAGAGGGGGATAGGGAGTAAGAGCGACCGTGAAGTATTCATCTTCACGGTTTGTGTGCTGTGGCTGACTAGTAAGCTGAGAGTCACACTGCAGTGGCCCCTTCCTAATGTGTACCCTATGTCACTCACGCAAGTGCGACCTCTCAGGCTACTCCTTTGTGCTAAATGCTGATGAGGTGTGTCCTGTGCCTAGCCTTGTTTGTGGCATGCGCAGACCGGTTACTTTTAATCCCTTCATTCACTGTGTCGAATCCCGACATCAGATGAATTCCCGCCTTAGACAGTGGACTTGGGTCTAAGAAAGAGGTCTGCTCTCAATTCTCTCTCATTAAACAGTCTGACGCACTAGAATCTAGCACGGTGCGTGGAAAGCCGTAACATGGAAGGCTGCCAGCTGACGAGGTAATTTAATCCTCATCAGAACAGCGAGCCAGGCTGTAATGAACTCCATGGTCCCAATCAGTTGGGATCCGTGGCCCCTGTGTCACTCTCACGCTCTTTGGATCCTGATTGAGTGTTTGTTCTGGACCTGGGGTGTGCTGACACACCTAGGTGCAGGTATTCACCGTGACAGCCGTCTACGCCCTATTCCGCTTCCCGTCTTTTTGACTCAGTCTTGACACCAGATCTAGGTGGGGGAGGAGGAGAGGATGCGGTAGGTGCTGCGCAAGTCTACTACCACGTTAAACTAACTCTCGTGCGAGTCACCGTCCCAAATGTACTTTGTTGTGGAGCACACGATGGACAACGTCGGATGCGACGGTCGAACTGCCGTATTTAAAAACAGATGGCGCAGGCTGTTCAGTGCTTATGTGGTAAGCAACCGATGAACTCGTCCAAAATATAACAAGCATGGTCCTGTGCCGTGGCTAGGGACGAGTTGATACGCACCGTAGCATGAGGATCGTGAAGTTTTTGTTTCAAAAGATAAAGTACGGCAAACCCAAGAAAATTCTAGAGCTGACTGTAAGCATAGTAGGAAGGAAGGAAAACTAGTATTTAGGGAGCATATGTACGTTCCCACGACGAGGTTGTCTGTTACGCTTGTGGGCCTCAATAAACACTAGCCCAGCAATGAGGCCTTACGACTGCCTCATAAAAGGTGATAGTTTGGGTGTTTTTTACTAGATTTTCCGAACTTTGTGCAAAGCGGACCTTTCAGGATACAGAAGTCGCCTGCATAATATCATGCAAATGCCCTGGGTGATTGAGCAAAGAAAGATCAGCAGAACTTACGTCGACCGACTCCACTTGTTCTTACAGTAGATCATTCGCGGTATTTAAGTTCAGATTCTTCAATGAGGATCCGGAAGTGGTCCTACTGACAGACTTTCAATTTGGAGCCTCGTATACGATTTCTAGAGACAACTAAGCTCGGGAGGGCTGATAATGGTACAATTTAAATCCTGATGGATGCGATCTTGTCACTCTGACTCCAAAAAATTCCGCATAAAGTCCACAAAGATGGCCAGATTTACAACCAGGTTGCGGTCACACACTTCCTCCTTCATCGCAGCCATAAGTATGTCAGCAGAGATGTTTTGGGAGCGTGTGAAACACAAATAACTGTCACAAATCGTTCAGAATGCGGTTAATGCTAGTTATATTAGTGAAATTCTACTTTATTTCAAAGCTAGCCTCTGCTGACGCCATTGTCTCTATGGTTGCCGTCTTCTTTATCCTCCTCTGTTAGGAAAAACTTACCAAATTTCGCTGCCAAACACGCAAACAAGTTCCCGAAATTTGATTTAAACGTGAAAGAACAAATTTTACAACAAGGCCCCTTTATAAGTGACCACGTCGTAAGAAGTTTCTCGAGAGGAAACGAAACTTAGATGACAACCTAGAGTCATGGGCCAGTTTAAAATGACAATAACTGATAACCTCAAATGTTGTCCCAAATTGCATTTCACCTTCCCAAATAGTCTGATGCTGTGACAGCTCCGTGAGACATATTCTCGAGTTTAAACAAGGATCAGTTTCGGCGCAATGGGGGCATTGAAAGTGTAGTAGGCTGAAACAGGATGTTGAAATCGTTTATGGGAAAAATAAGCTAGTTTGAAACGGCGAAGGCGACCTGATGTATGACAACTCTGCCGCGAGACTGAAGGGAGCTTGAAATCCCCGATGAAGGTAGGAAATGCGGGCTGCAATACCCCATACCTGGCTGCAAACGTAAACATAATCTCAACAGTAAGCCCAATCGTCAGTATCAGTATAAACCTAAACTAAACACTAAACATAACAATAAGCCTGACAAAAACCCTAAGTCTAGCCATATTCCTGACTTAAGCCCTAACCGTGACCCAAACTAACGCTAACCTTTACCATAATCGTGACCTTAACAGTAAGTCGACCCTAACACTAACCCTAAACTCATCATTAACACCAACCGTTAACTTAAACCGCGATCCAAACTCTAACTTCATTTGGAACCCTTGAATGTAACCCTAACTTTAATCTCAATTATTAGCCTGACACTAGCCCAAACCCTTTAGTTAACCGTACCACTGAACTGAAACACCGGGTTAACCGTTCCCATTTTAGCTTTGGCTACTTTCTCACTAACGATTTCAGCATTCCCCTCCGGCTTACCTTATTTACAGTGCACACATTGCGCTTACACTTGGGGCCAGAACAACCTAACCGACCCCTATCCAGATAATGAGGCGTTCACAGCCATTTTACCTTTTGCTGATGCATTATTCACTTCGTCTTTTGCAGGGTCTAGGTCTCTGAACAGCTATCAGGTTTGGCCTAATTTTAACGCCAGAGACCGCACCGTCTAGTGCGGAAGACGCGAAAGCACCGAAATTATTTTTAATCATGTGGTACACGTAAATGTTTTGTTTAAAGACTACGGTACTCATGCCCTTAGAGCAAAGCAACAGTACTCAAGTGCATTGGGGTGCGTTTATCTCCATATTCACGTACGCTGGATTTTGCAATTTGGCAAGTTACGCTTCCGTTATATCCAGACAGAAACAACCCCGTCTATTCAGCTCGACGACTAGTAGACTTTCATAATAGACAATTTGTCGTATGTACCCCAATTTTAAGACCGCTTAACATTGGCGAGAGAGACAGACAGCGGTAGACAATAAACTAACATTAATTTAATTTAAAAATTCTACAAAATGGGCTTTTGTGCTCAGCAAACATTATAACTAGACTTTCTTTGGAGCTTTTTGTATAGGTAAGTGTTAGAAGCAAATTTTATATAAGAATTCACCAGAAAGGCGACCTTATTTACCTCAGTCGAAAGCAGAAGATGAGGCATTAACGCGCATCGCATACAGTAAACAATGAAAAAATCTATAGAACCAATTACCGAACGGTCGAATTTACAGCATCCTTAGGACTGTGGGTTATAATAAGATGGCCTTAAATGTATAAAAAATACCAGGAAAGGTTCATAAATTCTAAGATAACATCTTCGGGGTAAATTCTGATGATTCATTTCCACGGGAAGTAACCACTCGCAACCTGACATATAGATTAAGCGTTAGCAACCAGCGCGTCCTACTGAAATAATGACGTTGACAGCGCTCCGTTACTTTTAAAGCTAAAAGTCTCAAGTTTTATA